CATTAAATCATGCAGCGTACTATACTCATTTCCTGGAAACAATTAAACACACAGTTCAGCTTTAGCTTAACACTTTTAACTTTATTTTGACATACGTTTGAGGCAATCAATTTCATTCCTATCCTACATACCTAAATTCAAGTTTTTGTTCGCTATGTATGTTGCTATCTCACTATCGTCTACGTCAAAACGTCTTCAAAGCATAAACTGCATGTTACATATTACTGAGCGGCTACGAGATAATATATGTCACTCAAAAGGCAGACCTTGGAGTATTTTCAAGTTATTAACAGAATTAGTTTTACCTTGTGCTACTAATAGGGAAACTACAAGCAGTACTATCCCGGAAACAGGCAGTCCTTGTTTAAAATAGTCCCAGTACAGTCTAAAGGTCACAGTTCCGGCACTCTTGGTCTCCTCTTCTTCCTTCAAATCAAGGAATGATAGTCCCTTAGAATCACAGTCTGACGATTCACACTTGTTTGTAAGTACCAGGGAGCTAGTAGTTTGCAGAATCATTTCGTCGTTCACTTTTATACCAACGCCTTCATCCTTCTGTTTAGGCAGAACCAAATCATCAACGAAGGCTTTGTTGTCTTGACCTTCTCGTGGTCCTCCCACAAACGATACTGAGGGTTCATTTAGCACCTTCTTTATGTTCCCTGGGCCATCATTCTTAAAGGGCCCAGACAACGTCTGGTCAACTCTTTCCTTGTTCTGTAGATTAGGTCCAAATGCTTTGTTATCTTCTTTAAAGGCTGCATAATCTTTACCTTCTACCAATCCTTTCGAACACGAGGGAACCATCGAGTCTGTAGAAACGCGCTGCAGCGTATCAATGATCCCTTTGTCATCTTGGACTGGTTCATCCAATGTCTGTTTGAGGGTTTGTTGCTGAGCATCCCCAGGCATATCGCATGTATTGACTGAGGGGATCGACAGACCTTGCAGCTCCTCCTTGATAATCCCTTTGTCATCAATCTCGTCTGAGCTCGCATTGCTTGGGAACCCAGGTCCATCTTCACAATTCTCAGGCAATCCTGATACTCCCCGAAATGCTCCCTGATGTATAAGTTCAGCGTATACCCCTTGGTGAATGATTGAACCGTTCTCCATCACAACGATGCGATCCACATCTTTC